TTATTATGTATGTAACACGAAGATCTTCTACTAAAATGTAAATGTGACAATTGCAAAAATAGAATTTCCACTATGCTATTATGATCTAAATCAATAAAAAAAAAAAAAAAAAATTAATTTTAAAAATTTAAAAAATTTTTAATCTTAAAAATGACAACGAAAGAGGAAATCCAAAGCGAATTAAATAAAGCGAGAGAAGATTATAGAAAGGCGGAGAAGAGGTTAGAAGATTGGGAGGAGGGAGAGGAGGAAGGAAAGTGGTTGAAGAAGTTGAGGAGAGAGTTATTTAACAAAGAATGGAAGGATGAAGGAGAGAAGAAAAAATGTGAAGATATGATAAAGAAGTTGGAAGAAGAGAAGAAGTCATTGGAGAAAGATAAACAAGATTGGCAAGAGCAGGTGGTGGAATGGGGGGAGACATTGAGAAGATTCGGTGGGGGTGAAGGTAATAAACAAATTGCGTAAAAAAAAAAAAAAAAAAAAAGAATTATTTTTCGTTCATTCCATTCCATTTCGTTTATTTACTTAATTCATTGATCCATTCACCTTTAATGCAATTACATTTATCTGGATTTTCTGTAGCAAAACGGAGTTATGATGACATGCAAATTGACAGGACTGGCATAATCTGCGACACTCTCATTCAACCATTCAGCTCTGTCCCAAGTCGAGCAGGGGATCTTACATCTCTTATTAATGCACCATTAACTCGAAAACTGCCTATATCCTTCTATGAGGAGATAACGTTTCCCCACCTTGCTGATTTTATTGAAACAAAAAATGATGAATGTGGAAGTAACCTATCAAAACACATTTCCCATTTACTTACTGACATAGTTGAAAAGCAAAATTTAAATGACACATCAGAAGATATGTTGCACTGGGGAATGGATAATATTATTAGAATTCCACTTCAGATTTTTCATGAGAATCTTGGCAGAGGAATGCTTCCAATTGAAATGGATCGGAATAGTAAGGATCAGGGAACAACAACTATAGGTAATAAAAGACCAGATTTTCTATGCTGGACAAACAATGTACTTCTATTTAAAGGCAAAGAGAAGGCTGAATTTGTGGATTTTTCAAAAGCTAAGGATGAACTTGAAGAAAAATTCAATAAGTTTGATCCTATGTATTTTGGAAATATACAGTTTATGATTTGTTATGCCGCAGCAGGAACAAGGTTGCGTTTTTTTGCAATTGATGGATCATCAAACACAAATCCACCAAGCCGTTTAGTTGCACTTTCAAATCAATTTGATATGAATAATCGCCGAGATCGTGTTTCTATCCTCTGTATAGTGGTTAATATTGCACGCATAATGAGGACTGTAAGCAATACTATTCCTGAAATGATTGTTCCTCTTGGAAAACGGTTGAAAACTGAAAAATCGATGATTACAATTTTAAGTGACTCAGTAGAGAAAAGGGTCTCAGTGGAATATCTTCCATTTGCTGAAAATTTGGATGATCGTATCAATTTCTTATCAGAAATGTACAAATATGCAAAAGGTCATCCAGGGCTTGTTCAAGTAAAAGAAGGCCCCAGCATTAGTAGACAAGGAATTTACAAAGTTGTGTTAGAAACACGAGGTCATGTTTGTCAATTGAGGAATGAAGACGAAACATGTGCAATGTCACAGAGTGTGCTCATTGGGCTAAACTGGTTACATAAAGGAGGTTATGTTCATTATGACATCCGATTATCAAATATTCTCTTTATTCCTGGTAATGCAGATTATAAATATGTTCTTATTGATTTTGAACATGCTAATGTGGATGGATTAGTAACGTCTGAATGGTTGAAGGATTGGGACAATAAAACACTCACAAAGAATAATAAGTATACAGCACAATCTGATTTGTATCAATTTGGAAAGATGCTTAGGAATCTTAATACAGTGAATTCAAAAGCTGGAAAGAAATTTTTAGACAGTTTGAGAGATAAAAGCATTAGTGTAGAAAATGTACTTCATGATGAATGGTTCAAGTAAATCATGTTTATCTAACAATCCACATATACATTTACAACTTTGCAATATATGTATTATAAAATTTCACATTTGGTTTTCTGCATATAATTGAAAAATAATAAAAGCATCTTATCTGTCTACTAGTATTAGGCTTTATGATTTTACATACTGTGTAACTTCATTTGTTTGATCAAAAATTTTTTCTTGGCAAGAATTGTACTGTATTTATATAAAATCAATATAGAAACATATGTTTCCTTGAAGCTTTTAGAATAAACTTAGGAATATAGTTAATAAAAGTTAATGTTCTCCAGCATTGTTTAATATCCACTAAATTAATGAACAAACATGTTAATATCTACAATTAGTTAATCAGTTATGTGTGTGAATTTGTATGTCACGTTTTACTAATATTTTTCTACATTACACATTTGTCTTATAATAATAAATAAACAAAACAAAAAAAAATTAGTGTGTACTAAGTATTTTTAACCATTACACACCTCATGATGATATGGAATGCAGAAGTTTCATTTCTTCATATTTTCATATTGAAGAATTATGAGTCCACTAATAAATTTTAATAATAAATTTATAATGTATTATTAGCATTGATTGTAAAAACCTACAAAGTGAACATAAAATTATAAAATTATATATAGGGATAAGTGTATATGAAAAATAACAATAAGTATAGTGGTTCTGCTGAATATCAAAAAGCAATTGATTTTTTAGAAAAGGGATGTAATTGTGGTTGTTCTTCAAGAATTCCCA